CAACAATCCAAAAGGACAACCTGTGGAAACATTGTTTGCATTAATTGCTGCCTTACATGAAGGGTTTCCAGCTGCATTTACAGTAAGGTTTCATACCTCTAGCCACATGATCAGTTTTACAAAATTTAATTGACTGCGTTCAGAAAACAGTCAATTCCTGTAACCTCAGGTCTTGGGAATAAAGCACAAGGGTCACAACCGCACCTCAAGAGGTTGGGTAAGCTGTGGCTGTCTAGAGAGTGTGTACGAGCAGACATAATGAAATTTGTGATCTTAGCTACTGGCTACTTGTAATTCTACCAGCCACCACTAAACTACAAACACCACTCACCAACAAATATACCAGAATCTACAACAACACTAAGCATCAACAAATTACAAATATACAATCACTACATCACTTCCATTATCACAACACTATTTTCTACATCATACAAACATGACAAACTATTTCTGCACCCTTACTTGAGACCAGAAATTTCATTGAGCAATTATGCATGTAATGGGACTGCTCTAACTTGACCTGGTAGTAGATATATGAGTCATGTGGTTTATGCTGTGGAAAACTCCTTGAGCTGCACAACTGATATGCACTTAATGTCTTATTATGAGGGTCGCAAATTTTCAAGTCAATAACACTGAAAGGCACTTAACCACATTAATATTACAGCTGTTCTTTGGGGGCTAAGATACCTAATAGTGCAAGATTCAGATGTATCCTTCAAATTAGAACAATAGTGAAAGGTAAGAAAGGGAAAATTTTTTACTAAAATGGAATCATAGCATTTGGTGTAACAGGATGTCATGGAAGATCTGTAACTGTTTTTAGTGTGAAATGTGTATTTCTGAGATAATGAAGGAAGTGTAAAGGTCCAAGACACTAAACATGAACTGTTCTTATTAAAAGAGAAAAGCTGAATTACTTAAAATTGTCAGGATGGTGTGATATATCTGCATGAAGTTTTGATTAGGGGACATAGATTGAGAACTCAGACCAATGTGGAGTACATTTACCAGTCAGCACAGGGAAAATAATTTTGGAGATACATTGACATGGAAGGTGCTTTGAATTAACAGAGTGAATGGACTCAGCACTTGGGCATATTTTCTTGAAAACATATATACACACACACACACACACACGAGAAGCTTCGTGTAATTTACAATGCCAGGTGAAAGACATGTGCCATGTCAAAATGAAAGTGGAATTGAGGCAGATCCAGATAATGTATCAGCATATGTTAACCAGGAAGAATAATAAGGTGATGACTGTCACAATGCCATTGTCAGAACGTCAGAACTGGATCTCACACCCAGAATGGAAACAGCAGAAATTGTTAAATTTATAGCTGAGATGGAAGGTTCAAGGGAACCAAGAAAACCGTTGTCCATTTCATAGTTGTAATTTGGATGAGACACATTCCCTGTAAATCACCACCTTTCTTGCAGGAGTGAGACATTAGAAAACAAACAACTTGAAGGATTAACTGTACCAGACAGATATGAAGAAAATTATATGGTGAGAATCATTTCAATTTTACTTTTCAGTCAATATTCTTTTTATGAGAAAACATCCATGATGTATTGTGAAAGTTAAAAAAGAAAAAAAAACAATAAATGCTTTCTGGAATGCAGTAATAGGGTCACACAATATCACATCATTTCCACATTTTACTTTTCCTCTCCCCAGTCTTATTGTTCTTCTTTGTAAATCAAACACACCATGGATACCTTCATTGTTTTTCTAATTTTGCAATGTACTTTCATTGTTAGGAAGCTCGTCTTGAGGATGTTAGTTCGATGTATATTTCAGAACCACTTATGATGTTTGTATTCTTGCACTGACTCTGTGGAAGCACCTGAGGAAGTGCTTAAATGCCCCTTGGATCCATAAATTCTGTCTTAAGCTCTAACAGTTTCCTTGCTTGTTAGTCTTGGTTACAGTTAGCGTCACTTCGCAAGATAAGATGGTCCTGTCTCCATGATGTTAACTTAGTTGCTTTTCAGGGTTCCTTTTGAGTATCTTCATTGTACAGAGATTTTTTGGTCAGCTGTGTGGAATCATGTAGGCAGCCTCATGCTGAGTTACAGTTGCTTTTGAAATTCCAGTACAGAGCTGTTTAATTTACCATGTCTGATCTCTATTCAAGTTAGAGTTATGGTGCTACATGGAGCTTGTACTGTAAGAAATGCATTGTCATCTCATTCTCCTTATCCACCTCCCCCTCCTCCTCCATAATGGCCTGAAAATAGAAATAATCTGAATTTTTAATACAGAGATCACTTTCATATTTTCACAAGATTTTGCATAATTTAGCCTAAATAGATCTTTGTACATTAAGGCATAAGCAAATATACACAAAATCACACTACAACAGGACCACTGACAGCAGGCTGAACCAGAAGGATCAGAATCAGCAATTGATAGCTTCACTACCTTTTCATTTGTTGATTCACTGTGTCATAGTTCCTGCCAGACAAGCTGCAGCAGTCCCATAAGAAATACACATCAAAATAAGACACATGAAATGCAACACTCCTGGAATAGAAAACACAAAATACAGCACATTTTGGAACAACTGCAACTTGCCTACCACAGCCTGGCATTTGAAGCGCCATGCCAGCTACATGAGATCATCTAGCAAAAATACAGGTGATTCCTCCTTGTAATTCGGAGATAGAGATTAAACTTCTAAATGCTGCATGAATATGCAGCTATGGAGTGTAAGTTCCAAGTACTGTCTACGAAAGTTGGGGAGTGTTCTGCCACCAGAGACATAGCTCATCGTGGGGCTTGGATGCACCATATCAGTGCTGGTAAACACTCCCAAACCTTGTATTAGATGGATGCAGAATGGGTGCAGGGGATATATTTTGCTGAGTTCAGCAAGACATGTAAACATCAGTGTAAGGCTTTCAGGTATAAGTTGGAAATAAATTGAAAGAATCAGGACAAGAAAAAGATCTTTGAAGTACCATGGTATTTTCATAGCTACATTCAGATAGAAATTTTTTCTAAACAAGAGGACTCTGAGTATCCTGGGCATTAGCAGCAATACTCAGATAATTTGGACAAAGGGAGGAGCCTCTGAGTATCCTGGGCATTAGCAGCAATACTCAGATAATTTGGACAAAGGGAGGAGCCTCTGAGTATCCTGGGCATTAGCAGCAATACTCTGAGGTAGGCTGTCACACATTCTGCTATATTCTCCATCCGCGTCTGGCATGGTTAGCTTCGCAGCCCTGGTTCTGTGGTACGAAATAAAAATTGTTGCTTTCCTACCTTTCGGTGAGACCTGCATATGAATGATGATTCCAGTATCCAACCGACAGCGACAATATATTTCTTGAAGATCACCTGAAAAACAATTTGCAGCAGTTAGTTGTTCCACTTTTGTTTCCTGTTTGTGATCCTTACCCTCACAATATAATTGACATATCCAAATAAATTCCCCATCATTAATCCTGTATAGATTAACCTGAAAAACAGGTTGTCTCTCGTACTTACAGAGTGAAGGATTTAGTCCTTACTAAGTTAGCCCTTAATTTTGTTAAAACAGTTTTGGTCACATAAGTAGTTTATGAACAACAGTAAAGCATCTGCACAGAGGTCAGTATTTTCAAAGATGGTGAAATAATTCAGTGCATTAATTTGGTATTACTGATACCAGAAATAGTACCAAAGCACTACAAAACAAGAATAGTAGCAGTCATGTAATGTGACTCAACAAGTATAACTATATATGTGTATACTATGTGCATTATATGGCTGATCTCACATCATTGTATTGTCACAAACTAGTGCTGTGTCATAGTTCATGTGATCAGATGCTCACTTCTAACTACTGTCCAACCCCTACTTGTTCTTCCCAATTTGCCATTCACTTCTGTCAGAGCAATTTAAAACATATTTCTCCTTCATCTCAGCAGCTTTCTGCCTCTGCATATTATGTGACAGTAGTTCTTCAAAGGTGAATTTAGATCATTGAAAGCATTGTCACTTATTGCATGCATTTGAAAACCAATTTCATAGACCCAAAAACGTGAAAGATAAAGTGTGCAATATACACCAAACTCAGGAATTAAACAACCAGCGTTTGATATGAGATGTAACCACAAGCCAAGCTGTAAGATGCAAGAAGGCCATGCCATAGCTCAAGCGGTTAGTTGCTGGCTTCCCACCGCGGCGGCCCGGGTTCGATTCAGAGTCTGGTGAAGTGGGATTTGTGGTGGAAAAAGTGGCGCTGAGGCAGGTTTTCTCAGAGTACTTTGGTTTCCCCTGTCAATCTTCATTCCACCAATTGCTCCACAATCACCCTCACCCATCATCTGGGGCTGGTACAATAGGCCAGAAGTGGCCGCAGTATAAGGGACTTAGTCCCACCCTACTAGCAATAAAAAAAAAGATGCAAGAAAGCACTTAAATTCTATACCAAACCTGGGCCTCATGCAACCAGAATTTGGTATCAGCTACAACTGCAAGCTAAGCTGTAAGATGCAAGAAAGGAGCACTTGAAGCCTACACCAAATCTGGGCCTTATACAACCAGAATTTGGTATCAGCTATAAATACAAGCAAAGCTATAATATGAACGAAAAGAGCACTTCAAGTCTACACCAAACCTGGGTCACACACAACCAGCATTTGGTTTGAGCTACAAGCCAAGCTGTAAGATGCATGAAGAGAGCACTTCTAGTTTACACCATGCCTGGTGTTATGCAACCAGAATTCAGTACATAACCTCCATCCACAAGTCAAGCATTAAAAGGTGTGAAAGTAGCAAAATAGTGACACTGATGGAAACATTACTATAAAAACAAAATCTCGCTATTGAATTCCATGAAATAATTCTGAGAAAGAAAATTTTCTTGCAAATGGAGGAAAGCTGTGAATATATTGAATAAGCATTCTCAGACAGCCGACAAGGGTTAGTCCTCCAGCTTGGGGGTTGGGTGTGGGGCTAACAACTCGTCACCGTAAAAAATAAACCTGTTACAAAAATGGACAGAGCTTTGGACCTGGATGGATCCTCTGGGTAAACGACCTAGGCTAAAGAAAATGCATATGAGATTCATTACTTGGAACGTCAGAAGTATGTATAGGGCTGGATCACTCAGGCAGAAGAAATCTTAAAATACAGTGGAACCTTGCTTAATGAGCACTTCTCATAACAAGCAAAACAAATTGTAAAAAATGACTTGCTTCACGAGCGACGTTTTGCATAATGAGTGGTGACGGGAAGTCCCGGGTTGTGCGCTTGCTACATCAGCCTGTGTTTAGCACTC